TTTCTTCCACATGTCTGAGCTCTGTGTGTGGTGCTCACCTGTAAACACAGCTGGTGCTTGTTGCTGGAGCTTGGCTTGTTCAGGAACTCTGTGGGCAGCAAGGGGATCATGGCTCTGGGCTGGATTCCTGAGATGGCAGGAATCTTGCTGGGCTGCTTCCCTTGCACTTCCCAGAGCACAATGGAGTGCAGGAGGTGGCACACAAGCATTTAGTGGCTTTTTTTCTTATTCAGACCTGAGTTATCCAGTTTCTTCCCCCATCTTTGAGTGGGCAAGGTGGAGCTGTAGGAAGAGATGGGTCTGTGCTCAGGAGAGCTCTTCTTCCCCTCCTGCCCCCCGCTCCCTTCCCTGCCTGGCCTGACCCAGCTCCAGTGTTACCCACCTGCCACTGAAGGGACGGTCCTGCAGCCCTGGAGCACAGACTGCACCATGGGAGCTGTCTGCATCCTCCTGTGGAAGATGGAGACCAAGCCCTGGGGCCTCCTCTGTCCCTTGCTGCATTATTTCTGTTTGCAGATAAAAACCTGGGCACCTCATTCCGCTGACAGGCCATTATCTCCACAGATAATGTGAAGAAACAAGAGGCTGGCCTGCCAGGCAACAGAAACTTCAACATCTGCTCTTGTTTTACCCCTCCCAGGGACATTTTACCTCTCCAGGCAGGGCCCTGCTCTGCTAGCACAGTGGCAGGGACAGCCAGCTGCCTCCAGGCACGTTGCTGGTTGTGCCCAACTTGCTCCAAGGCCAAGGTGTCTGGGACTCAGGATTCAAGCAGTCAACAAGGTCATCGTGGTCATTCACATTTTATTTTCTGCCTTCCACCATGATAATGTGGTATCCAAACTTGGTCTTGATGGGAGGGTCCGTGTACACGGGCTTGTCCATGCTGCTCACAGGCAGGGCAAATGCTGCCTCCTGGAATGGTCCCACCATGGAGCCTCTGGTCATCCAGCCCAGGTCTCCCTGCAGCAAGGGACGGCCAGGGTTAAGCTCTGAGACTCAGAGCAGGGAGGGTGTGTGATGAGGCCGTGGGCCAGCACCGAGCAGGATCCAGGCTCCCGCAGCCGCTGCCCGGTCCCGGGTGCAGCACTCACTCACCCCTTGCCTGGCCTTGTCCTCGCTGTACTGTGCCGCCACCTCGCTAAAGCGCTGTCCGGACTTCAGCTTCTCCATGGCCTCCATGGCGCGGCCGTGCTTCTCGCACAGGATGTGCCGAACCTGGCGGGGCGGCAGCGGGGCTGTGGCGAGCGGGGCCGGCGGGCGGGACGAGCCGGCAGGTGCCGGGGCGGAGAGCGCGCTCCCCGCCGCTCCCCGCCGCCCCCCGCGCTCACCTTGACGGCGCTGCCGCCTCCCTTCGGGCCCTGTGCTTTGCCCTCGCTGCTGCTGCCGCCGTCGCCACCTGTGAACCGAGCACCCTGACACCGGCCCGCTCCCCGCCGGCCCTGCCCGGTTCTGAGACCGGCTCGGCCCCCACCGCCCCCGAGCCCCCTCCCGGCCGGTCGGTGCCGCCCAGCCCCGCTCACCCTTGCCGGCTTTGCCGCCGCCTTTCCCTTTGGGCGCCATCTTGCCGCGGTGAGCCCCCGCGCTGCTCGCTCCGCGGCGGGCGGGGCCGCCCCTGCCCCGCCCCGGGCCGCCGGCTGCCCGCGCTGCGCCGGCACGGAGCCGCCGCGCGGGGCTGGGAC